GAATTTAAACAGATGAATACACGCATTAACAGATTAACAATTCTCAGTCTGAATTTTTCATGGTTTTGCAATAAAATGGTATCTAAAATAACAGGGGTATGAAAGCCAGTATTCTGCAAGTTTAGAGACTCTTTTTTATGAATTCTTGATTAATAACAGTTGATTGACCTTCGTAGCCAATCAATTGGTTTATTCACATCATTAAGGTCTGAGAAAAAAGAACATGCCTGGACCAGGGCTGCCCATCTCTCACCTACTGTATAGTATAACCTCTTCCTGAGGCCAAAATATTTACAGTATGTTAGTGAAATATAGTGGCGTCAAATAAGAAAAAGTTTTGTATTTCAAATAAATAATGTTCTACAAACTTCAATATATTTGATTTATTTTATTATTTTGGGTAATATTTCACTCTACCTTCAATCACCAATGCATTTTTCCGTAGGAGCAGCTAATTTCTTATGATCAGTTTAAGCATAGTAATTGAGCAATGCTAGCAGAGGTCAAAGGTTACCATGTTGATTTCCTTCTGCTGGCTGTTCTTTGGATTTGACATTGATGTATAGACATCCTCTTCCTCTGATTCACCTTGCTGGAAGAGAGTGACACTCGATTTTGAAAGAAAAAAAATGTGTAAATGTAACAAAATAAGTTGGATAAACAACTCAGCACTATGAAACAGTATTTTGATTGCTAAAGTAGAAATAGGGTTAAGGGAAGCTGTTTAGTCAGTTTAAAAGATGGAATGTAACAAATTAGAGACCAAAACATCAGAAGTTACCAACAACACATGGAGACTATGGTGAAGAAAACACTTATTTTTTAATGTCGTTCCTTAAAAGAAGAAAGTTGAGAAAGGACTGTGTTATACTTTGGCATCTATGCTCCTAAATAAATTACTACATTTTCCTAAATAAATTTTTCATTCTGATCTTTCACTCCGATGATTTTCAATCTAAAAGGGCATAGCAGCACAAATCACTGACATCATGTCAAAGCCTAGAGTGAACATGAAGCAATTGTTACGGATTCGGTAAGAGAAACCGAAACCAGTGAATGAACCCACTTGCAGGAGCTGATAAAGCCTAGCCGTGATCCAAAGAAAGCCGTAG